ACCCTCGTAAGCAATCTTACACTTGTTTTCTCTTAAGCTGCTGCTGTGTTGTCTGCATTGCAGGCTGGACGGGATGAAGGCAACGAAGTGAATGCAGCTCTGGCTTCTCAAGACGCCAAGGTAAAGTTTTGGGTCTGTTGATGGGAAAAAGTGTGCTTAGGGTTTGTCTCCCAGTATGACTTTTTTAATGTTTGTGAATGTAGGAAATCTATGAGGCTGGCGAGGCTCACTGGGGTACAGACGAGGTTAAGTTTCTCACGGTGCTTTGTGTGAGGAACCGAAACCATCTGCTGCGAGGTATTCCTACTGCATGTTTATGAATGATATGCAGATCTAATATCCTTGGGTTCGCTGTGTGTCATGTGATTAAATTTCCTTCCTTTTACTTAAATTGACTACAGATGTCATGTAAGAGACTGGATTTTACTGACCCCTTTTGGCAGTTTTAGGAGCAAACATCAACAGTTTGTTGAATCACCATCATCTTCATTTGTTCTTCTGTCCATGTGTTGTGTCATGATTTTGTCAGATGTATTTCTTCTTTATTCTTTAATTAATGACACAGCAAGACAATATGTTCAACTTAAGTTCTCCCATTAATCTTTCTGTTTTCTTACTCAAGTGTTTGACGAGTATCAGAAGATTTCTGGACGAGACATTGAGGAGAGCATTAAGAGGGAGATGTCTGGTTCTCTGGAGGACGCCTTCCTGGCCATAGGTTTGTGTCTTCTGTGACTTGTTTTACAAATGGATAGCTGCAGCCTCGTTATAGAGACGTAATCCTCTAAATGAAAGCTGTTCACATTCAAGATCAAATGAATACAGACAAAGAAAAGACTGGAACACTCAACTCAAACTTTATAGATAGCAAATAAAATGTAAAGAGTAAACCTTCAAAAGGTTTGCTGGGAAACTTTAGCATTTCATGACATCGGTTTCCTGTTCACTTAAGGTTGTTTTGTAAGAAAAGAAAAAGACACCAAGATGACTTGTAAAACATTAATAGGAACTTGTGATGAGAACTTTTATCAGCCAGTGCTTGTGTA